ATGTCATCATTCAATTTGTATTGTCAAGGTAGGCTAGAAATGCACCATAAAGATGCATATATTCGAGAATGTGAAAGAGATATCACACATCGAAGGTACCAAACATTACATGTCCTCAAATTCGTCCCACTTATGCCCCAAAGAAAGCATTAATTAGAATCCATGCAGAACATTTTTGCAGGATTGTAATTATGAACTGTGCTATATTTAGCCATTTCGGTTAGCGATGACCTTAGTTGAAGTTGAATAAGTTTTTGTTTCAAGGGTTTCCTAGCTATATATACCCTATGATGATATGAAGTGGCTATCTCTAGTAAGAGAAATTCATAGTTCCAATGAGCCATTGCTTTGTTCCTTTCACATTTTATGGTCTTTCTCTTGGTGTGAAAGTCTGGAATATTGCTTTTAGAGAGTCTCAATGCCAAACAGGGTGTTGGCCCTCTTAGGTCTGCAAGGAATCAAAGATATCAAACATTATTGTCTACGTGCACATGTTATCCTCACAAAATTCCCTGAGCTATTCCTCAGATAATTCACTTAAGGTTTATTTACTTTTTCAAATTATGATTTCAATATACCATATAACAAAAGTAAGTAATCCACTAAGCTACATCGCTAGTGCTACAATTTAATGATATTCTTATTCTCTTGTAATTATACATTCTCATCAGATTTGACTTGACTTTATTGATAATGAGTTTGATACCTAATTGCAGTTGATCTCTTTTTAATACTCTAAACCCTAATTCATTGTGGCACTTAGCTCAAATCTATCGTCATGTCAATACCGTTGCATAATCACTGAGTTAATGGTTCAATTAATATAAACTGTTTGGCAGCACTCCATAAACTTGGTTGGTTATTGAGCAATACATTTATTTGAATTTGAATTCAGGCTCCAAACCACTCAACTTACTCAATGTGAACTGGTAAGTGAAGTGCCTAGAATTTGAAGGGATTTGGATTCTCTCCTGAGCCAATGGAGAGGATTCTCCTGACCAAGCATTGTGAGTCGTTGGATAAAAATCCAACGGCTACAAACAGGGGGTCCCTTTAAAGTTATAATAATTATAGCCGTTGGATGAAAATCTAACGGCTCACAATGCTTGTTCTAAAGGATCCTCTCCATTGGCTCAGGAGAGGATCCAAATCCAATTTGAAGTGCACAACTTGTACTTTTAAAAAAGAGAGCACCTAACCCACTTAAAATTCATAAGCTAACTAGGGACAGTCTTACTTTTTAGAGTACTGTTGCCCAAAGTTTCATGACATCAAGGAAGCTTCCCCTTGGAATTTACAGGGCATCTACCTCCTTTATTGGACACTACCCTTGAAAAAATAGCAAAAAAATGGTGCTATTCATACAAATCTTTTTACCTCTCACACATTCATATTAATTTTTATATATTTATCTTTTTTAATTTATTTGATTTAATAACCAAAAATTAAGAAAATGTGTGAAAAGTAAAAATAAATGTGGATACCACCCAACCAAAAATATATGCCCAGTGTGTAATGAAATACCAACTTTATGGCTCTCGGAAAAACATAAAAAAAGAATTTGAAATGCATAGAAAACAAGTTCACTTTTCAGGCTAAAGATATGACGGTCAAAATCCCGATATATACAAGAGAAGGTGAATTTGCAACTTGCAAGACATAATATGTTGAATTGTTGTTTAGCTTAATTTCAATCTAACTATTTGTAAGTTCATCAAACAACAACTATAACGATAAAAATATTGGTCGAATTGAGTTAAAGTAATCCTAGTTCGAGCCGAATCAAGTGATTATGATTCACAGTCCAAACTTTTATAATGGTCAGTACCAAATATTTGTATGCTGCTGCATTAAGTTGTGAGGTTTACTGCGGCGAGGTGTTTTAGGTGGAGGTCTTGATTTCCGGGGAACTTAAAAAAATCACCGTTAGGTTGCCGTGGCCGTTACAAAACCGGCGCCAGCCGTTCATTGCGGAGCGTCTGCCTCTTTGTCCCATTGGACGTGTCTCGTTTCTTCCTTTATTTTTCTCAATTTTTAAAATTACTTTCAAAAAAGTAAAAGGAAAACATGCAAAATAATAAATAAATAAATAAACCCTTTTTCGGCTGAGACCGTTGATTGCGGTTGGGAATAAAGCGCGCCCTGACATTGGACAATGTGACCTTCCTTTTTTGACCACTTCTTTTTTGTCTTTTCCATTTTTCTAATAAATTTATTTATTTTTATTTTGTAAGTGTGAAAATGTATAGAAAAATGCAACGACCAACGTGGCCCTCGTTTGGAGGACAAATTACAGGAAATGCCAAGTCGTTTTGACGCGTGTGTAAACGTAAGATGAATTTTACTGGGTCCTGTCGGTGGGCGTAAACAAAATGATTTTTTTTTTTTTGGGTAAATAAATAAATAAAATGAAATTTCCAGATGGGAGAAAATAAATAATTAAATGGTTGTGAGTGTTGTTTGTCGGGTTGTCGGGCATTCGAATCCTGGTTACAGGTCAATCTTCTTGGGTATCATGTTACACGTACCAGGTGGAACCATGCTGCCACCTTCCCTCTCCTTGATATATTTGCCATTTTACATTTCTACCCTTCTCATGACTAGATGGAGATTGGAGAGGTCATTTGGTTCTCTAATTTTACAAATAGATTCGTAGTTAAAAAGGCTTGAGCTGATGTGGATGCAAGTCTTTCTCTATTCATATTTGGAATTGTTTTAGTATCTATCACACAAAAACGCATAACTAAATATCAACCATGCATATGTGCAATACTAATTTTGGAGTATACTGAGGCTATTTGGTTTAACCTAGTGAAAAATGATCACTTGATTGAGTTACTGAAACCAGAAGTTAGGTGACTGGATTACAAATAGGAGTTGAGTTTTATGTGTTGGCACATAACATTCATTTAAGAGATGTATTAGCATCAGTCGCACATAAAAACGTAACTAAATGATGATCATGGATTTGTGTGGGACTTGCCGTGGAGCTTGCGTGACTCCATTGATTTGTAGGTGGTTTACCATGAATTGTACATAGATCAATATCTGACATTTCGTGCAGAAACGCATCTCTCTTACTAATGGTAGCAAGCCTACCATTTATCTTGACTATGTAGTAATTGGTGATTTGCCTTAATGGTTTAGTTTTTTGTTTTACAATTGGCATCCCTTCTTTTTTAAATAAGGAAGTTGTTTTGCTAAAGGGTTTTAGAATGTGTCGGAAAGGGTAATCTCATAACTCAACACAATATCAGGTTTCTTCTTGCTTGTTTCATAAAATCAAATCACAAAGTAATGCAGGTTCTTTTGCATGGACATATTGCAAGAAATTAACAACCCTAATTAATGAAACCCTAAAAATATATTTCTTCAATCTCTCCAACCAGTCTGGGTCTCTCTCTGTCCATGCACGATATGCTCCTTCCGATCACATGGATTATTGAGATTTGACAGCAATCGACCTGCAGTCTCTCAATCACTTTTCAAATTTCAGCATGCATGCATATGCTACCAAATTATTGATCGATCAATATACATGTAGATTTTCTGTCAGAAATATATTTATAAGATAGCCCAATTTCTTCACCTCTTATAAAGTATTTGGTACATTCCTTCTCAATAATGCATAATTTTTCCATGTATTATGCACCTGCTCAAATTTAACAAAACTAATGAAACTATTTGTACTACTGTTTCGGATGAATAGAGTTCGATTTGGTTTGAGCTATAAGCAGTTTCGGGTTGGTTTGGTTTTTTCCTCATCTTTGCATTTCAGCTTGAAACCGAACTAATTCACACTAATTAACTTGTTTTATTGGTTTTACCGTCACTTAGAAGTGAAACTATAATCCAAATAGGATCGCATAAACTGTTGAAAATTTACATATTGTGAAAGTACAACTCAAGATAAGGAAGGTTCTAAAAGTTGTCAAAGAGGACTAGAGATAAAGAATAGTTCTAAGGTAACTTGATAAAATTTCATAATATTTTTTTATATGAAAACATGCATCACGATTCACATGAGATAATCAAAGTAACAAAACTTCGAGCTCACCCACTTGCTGTACGAGTTTGCTCTTTCTTGTTGTGGCAAGATAAAAAAGAATTACCTCTCTCAAAAAGGATCAATGAGGTGAGACAAAAGTACAAATATCCGTCGGCAAAGAAAGTTGTAAAAATTGTTACCAGACAAGAGACAATGGAGATCTCCTCGTCCTTGGGCAAATCGGTGGAGAACAAGTTGGGGAAATGGCTATTACCCAGACCAATCAACACTTTGACCCGATAAAATACCAGGGGCAAAATGGACATTTAAAAGTGGGGACATCCCAATGGACAGAAACTGAAACCTTTTGAGTCTTTGACTCTTCGACTGCACCTTCCCAAACCGCTTTCTTGTTTTGGTAATTCTCAAACTCAGTGACCTGCCCATAAGTCGTAATTTATTTATTATTTTTTTAATAAAGTATTATTGGTATTCTAAAAATCTCATTCTACACTCTTCATAAGTGTATTTTTCTTTCTAAATATAGAAAGTTTGGAGTGTAGAATGAGAAATTTGGAGTGGTAATAACAATTCCCTTATTTTAATTAAAAGATATTATCCACACTATAAAGAAGTGGTGGATTTTGTCTCACAATAATTTAATAATAATATGGTTTAAAATCATATTTGTCAAGAATCGAACTTAAAACATCTCCCTTTTAAGTGAAAAAAATATTACTAGACCGTAATACTAAATGATAGATGTCATAATTTAATTAAAATTAAATAAATATTTCCTTTTGTTTTTTTTTCTCTTCAAATTTTATCCTCATTATATGCAGTAACCTTTTCCATTCGACACCTACAATAAATACACACCGACCTTCCCAGTAAGGGCCGGGAACACCCACATGGCTCTGTTCTTTTCTCAACTATTTTCAGGCCCTCGAAAAGAGAAATAATCTGAAATTATTCAAAACTAATTAACAAAAAATAAAATAAATTTTGGGTACATACTAATTTCTGGGTATTTGTACTTTTCCTTCCTCCCACATTATATAGAGGCCCATTGTGCTCCTTCCCATTCCCAATCCCTCCACCCTCTCCTCTTCCTTCTCCTCCTTCTCTCTGCTGGTTTAACAGAAATTTTAGCTGATAAACCATCGCACATTGCCTTTTCTTTTGTGTTTTACTGCTGATATGGAGAAATTTGTGAGGGTAGTTTCCATGGCTCCTCTGCTTCTGCTGCTCTGTTTTCCTTTTGCTTTGGCCGGCCATGACTACGGGCAGGCTCTGAGCAACAGCATTCTGTTCTTTGAAGCTCAGAGATCTGGGTATCTTCCCCCCAACCAGAGAGTCACTTGGAGATCCAATTCTGGCTTGTATGATGGCAAGGCCAATGGGGTAAGTTCTAAATTCTAATCACTCTTCCAGTAAAAAAGAATTACTGGGTTTTGTAGTTAAATTATCCAGTTCATGGTTTTTTAGAAAACTCAAATTTCCAACTGGGTTATGGCAAAATGTTGCAGTAAAATTTACCCAGCTGATAATTTTTCATAAAAATTTAACCTGTGGTCTGGAATTTGCAGGTGGATCTGGTGGGAGGGTACTATGATGCAGGTGACAATGTGAAGTTTGGGCTTCCCATGGCCTTCACAGTGACAATGATGTCCTGGAGTATAATCGAGTACGGCAGCCAAATGGCTGCAAGCGGCGAGCTCGGCCATGCCATGGATGCCGTCAAATGGGGTACTGACTACTTCATCAAAGCCCACCCAGAACCCAATGTCCTCTATGGCGAGGTACCTTCCTCCCCAAGTTCTCAACTTTTCCACTCTCTAAAACTAGAAAAATATAATTTTCAATTAGCTTTATTTTTAATGGAGCTAGTTTCTCTGTCCTCCCGCTTCTCATACACTCCAATATTCTTCTATTTATGTGGTAACGGTTAAGTCATATCAACATTTTATATTACTGTTACTTTTTGTTTTATTATTCTTATAAAAAAATCAATATAAAATATTGACGTGATTTAACCGTGATCACACAAAATAAAAGAAAATAGAAATGTATGAGAAGTGGGAGAACAGAGAAGTCAACTCTTTTTCTTAATGGCATATGGACCAACCCAAATGCCAAAATTAGATTTTTTTTTTTTTTTTCATTAATATATGATGTTTTTTGCTTTTGTGTTTAATGTGTTAATTTTGTGATTAGGTGGGAGATGGGAACACTGACCATTACTGTTGGCAAAGGCCGGAGGACATGACCACTAACCGCCAGGCTTACAAGATCAGCCCCAGCAATCCCGGGTCCGATCTTGCCGGGGAAACCGCCGCCGCCATGGCCGCTGCCTCCATTGTCTTCCGCCGCTCCAACCCTGCATACTCCCGCGAGCTCCTCAGCCATGCGTATCAGGTCTGTCCCACTATTATACTTGTACTTTCGCAAACTAAATAAATCATAACTGAACTTAGTCAAATTGATTATGGCGTGTTTTTTGCATTAAAGTTTGAATCTTAGTAATCGTGTAGTATAAACACAACGTTATAGTGTATAATTAACCAGTAGTGAGTTTTAATGTTTTTCCAAATAATTAACCACTTGAATTTGGTCCATTGGTCTAAAAAGATTATACTTGTCAATGGTGGGACCACTAACAGTAATGCCGGTTCAAGCGGCGTACGTTAGGCATGTGCGGCATCGAGCCGCTGACAAGTAGTAGGCTGATACTTTTCTTTTTTGGTCAAGCGCTAGGCAGAAGGCGGATACTTCGGGTCTCGTGCTTTTGGCGCGGGACCGGCGTATGATAGCCAACTGTCTTGGTTGTTAGGCAGTTACGTTTCCGACTTACTTTTTGTTAGTTTGGGACCAGTATTTAAAATGTCAATATTTTTATATACTTTTCTAAATTTTTGAATGTTTTTATTTAAATATTAACCGTATCCAAAAAATTTTAAATATCGCTCTCGAAGTTGCTACAGCCCCAGCGTACGTTAGCATCACATTTATAAACTTGAGGACAGACGTTGCCGTTTAAATGTCCGTCTGCTTAAATGGGGTAGTAATTAAAAAGCCTTCGGCGCATAATTTGGATCGTGGGGGGACATCTCTGCCCGTCGATCACGGGGACTGTGCTGCTTGATAGTACAAGATCTACAATACGATAAGATCTCCCCCGTCCACGTGTAGCCGATCCGTGAAAAGTGCGAATGTTATTTCCTCTTCCACGTGCGATTTTTGTCGGTGCTGCACCACCTTCCTGTCTTAGACATGCATAATTAGCTTCCCTTAATACCCTCACTGTTTTATTATATTTACTGAAGTTGCCACTGATCTTACACTTGTTTACTTTTCAGCTGTTTGATTTTGCGGACAAGTACAGGGGCAAATATGACAGCAGCATCACCGTGGCCCAAAAGTACTACCAATCCGTCAGTGGCTACAATGTACGTTATTGGGCCCGTATTGGGCTTTTATCACTTCAGGCCCAAGAACAGCCCATTAAGCTATTTCCATTTCGTATCTAATTTTGGTTGGGTGTTGAAAATTATTATTTGTTGTTGCGCAGGATGAGTTGCTGTGGGCTGCTGCTTGGTTGTTCCAGGCGAGTAACAACCAGTACTACTTGGACTACCTCGGAAACAATGGTGATTCCATGGGAGGAACCGGTTGGAGCATGACCGAGTTCGGCTGGGATGTCAAGTATCCCGGTGTCCAAACCCTTGTTGCCAAGGTACTACTCTTCGATATTGCAGAGACTGCGTGTCACTGAACCAATCGGTTGTTGATATCTATGTGTTTTTTTACAAATGAATTGTAAATTGCATTTATTGGATTTATAGTGGGGCGACAACTAATTGGTTTGTGTTTTCTTGGTTGGCAGTTTTTAATGCAAGGCAAAGCAGGTAGTCATACAGCAGTGTTTCAGAAGTACCAACAGAAGGCTGAGTACTTCATGTGTTCATGCGTTGGTAAGGGCAGCCAAAACGCACGGAAGACTCCCGGTGGCCTAATTTTCCGCCAGAGGTGGAATAACATGCAGTTTGTCACCAGTGCCTCCTTCTTGGCCACTGTCTACTCCGACTATCTCACATCTTCCAGGAGTACACTTCAGTGTGCTTCTGGCAATGTGGCACCCAACGAGCTCCTATCATTCGCCCAATCTCAGGTAATTCATCCAAAAACATGCTCGTATCGAATCATCCAACACGTTGCTTTTTTTTTTTGTAAAACCATGTAATTTGATGCTATGATTTTGTCAAAATTCTCAGGTGGATTACATTCTTGGAGACAACCCGAGAGCCACTAGTTACATGGTTGGCTACGGAAACAACTACCCTCAACAAGTCCACCACAGGGCTTCCTCAATTGTTTCCTACAAGAAGGACTCATCATTTGTGAGCTGCAGGGGAGGCTATGCCACTTGGTTTAGCCGGAAAGCTAGTGACCCCAATCTGCTTACTGGCGCTATTGTCGGTGGACCTGATGCCTATGACAACTTTGCTGATCAGAGAGACAACTATGAGCAGACAGAGCCTGCTACCTACAACAATGCTCCCCTTCTCGGTATATTGGCACGCCTAAATGCCGGCCATGGCGGGTATAACCAGCTCCTACCAGGTACATATACTGACTATATTCGATGTTTCTAAGGCTTATCGATTTTTTTTTATTTTTTTGTCTTTGTAATGGTAATTGATGTACTGAATATTCATACAGTGGTTACCACTCAGCCAAAAGTAGCTCCACTGCCTAAAGTTGCTCCAGCTTCTCCAGGTATTATATGGCTTATCTGAGGAAACTATGTTTACATTCGCAGCCTCTTTTATGTTAACATGAATTGTCGGAAAGTGATCTGAAATGAGTTGCTTTTTCTGCAGCTCCATCTTCGAGCCCAATTGCCATATCGCAGAGGAAAACATCTTCTTGGATTTCCAAGGGAGTGACTTACTACAGATATTCCGCAATTGTGACCAACAAGTCTGCCAAGGAACTCACAAACCTCAAGCTTTCCGTCTCCAAACTTTATGGTCCTATTTGGGGCCTAACAAAGGCCGGCAATTCCTATGGTTTCCCCTCATGGATCAACTCTTTACCGGCGGGAAAGAGCATGGAGTTTGTCTACATCCATTCTGCTTCTCCAGCAGATGTCTTGGTCTCAAGTTACTCATTAGCATAAGAAAGGAAAAAAGCTCCATGAAACAAAGGAGAGAGGTTCACGCAGTTTCTGGGGTCGGAATGTAAGAATTGTGCAGCTATACGAATGCAGACCAGAAGAAACAAGTCCTTTTTATTTCTTTGCAAATACTACTTATGATTGGGAGGGGAAGAAAGCAGTGATGAGACGGGTTTAAAATGTGTGTTCATCCTCTTTCACCTCAACTTTCAGTAGGATTATTATATAGATAGGTTCCGAGAGAGAGTTACAGTTAAAACGTGAGTGAGAGTTTGAGGGGGTTGAGAAAAAAATGACTTCTCTCAACTGGTTTCAAGAAGTCTTGTTTCTTTGTACTTCAAAGCAGCTTTGGATGTCCTTTCGCTTTTTTTTACTTTTTTGTGTTGTGAATGTTGTAAGCTTTGCAACATTGTTTGAATGGATAAAATTTAGTACGTACAACCCCGCTATAATTTTACCCCACGTCCGTCGAGTCTAGTGGTACTCCAAAAACAACTTAGGATAGAAATGGGTAACGCAGTGACATGAAGTGAGATAAATACTCTCTTCGCCGGTTACAGCGAAAGGGATATGGGTCATGACTTAATCTTATCAGACAAAGCATCAAACACATTAGGTTACAAGTGATGTGTGTTTGGAATAAAATTATGTATTGGGCCTATCTTAAGGCCCAACCTGCTAGGCTTTTAACGAATAGCTTATTGGGTATTTAAGTTTGGGACAAAGGAACAGTGCGTAGGTTCATCTTTCAAAAGTGCTTTATGACGTAGCATCGTGGGCGGCAAAAAAACTCTGTTTCGCACTGAACGAAAGTAAATTAGTGGGTTTTTGCTGAAGCAAGATGCTTTCTGATGACAGTGTGGTAGTTTCAGGAGGATAAAAGCTTGAACTGGAAGACGAAAAAACTTCCTCTAACAACGGTTATAATCTGAAAAGAAAAGGCTTTAAGGAAAGTTTGTTCTATAAAAGGCAATAAAAAGACAGAAGAAAATGACACTCAACTCAACATACAAAAAGGCTTCAAGGCTCTGCAAATTTACATTTTAACAAATTCCTTTTGTAGTTCAAACATCTTTTCCATTGTACTTAACATTTTTTTACAAATTCCTTCTAAATTTCTAATGCATTATATGTAGTATCAATTTTCTATATTGAAACTTCCTTTCAAAGCACTTCCTCCACTAAGCAAGAACTTGCCCGACTGATAGTCAAACTTACCTGAATAGGTTAATTTAAACTTTGCCCAAAAACTTGTCTTTTTTTTTAATGGTATGCCTAGTGATTGCGAGTTGGTTCATATCTATCAGGAAAAGAATGTTGTAGCAGACAACCTTGCCAATTGGCGTTATAATATGAATCTTACGTACCATTATTTTGAGAATCCAACTGAATATATTGAGACTCATTTATTAGATGATATGAGTGGAGTCTCTAAGACTTGAACTGTTTATAGTAATTATTGAGTTAGTTTGTGTTCTTCTATGCCCTTATGTTACCCAAAAAAAAAAAAAAAGAAAAAAGAAAAAAAAGCTTGTATTTTGTATTCTTCTCCACCTTATTGTCTTGTACCTTCATATTATTATTTTTTGTACAAGCTATTTCTTTGTTGTAAACAGTTAACAAGCACTTAACTTCATTTGACAAGTATTAACTTTTTTTCACTATCAGCCCTTTCTTTTTTATATAAAACCGTTGAGATGATCATTATTTTAAATACAAGTCCCTATTTTAAATACACGTAAATACAAGTCCCACAAATTGATAAGTGTACGATAATTAGTACATGGATAATTTTAGGAAGACTAAATTTACAAACAAATTTTTTAAACTAAATAATGTGAAGGGTGACGATTGAATTATTGCTTAAACGTTAATAAACGTACTCATTTCTTATTGGTGACACATCATTTATTTTGCAAATTTTATCTATAAATTTAGTCTCCCTAGCATTACCCTTAGTACACATAGACTAAACTATGATCATTGCGAAAACCCATTTAGTTTTCTAACGGATAGTGTTTGTGTTGCCAACGAGGGAATTCGGTACATAGGAGGTTGGTCTTTCTCAACGTGTCACATAAAACTTTTCGATACAAGAAGGGACTGTTCACATGAAAAAAGAGAAGAAAGAAAGGAGTTATTATCTTCTTTCTCTTTCTTGAGGGGGAGGGATTAGGCCTACCTATCCCGATATGACCTCATAAAGGAACGAATGCTATCTTCTTCTGGATATCCTCATAAAGGAACGAATGGCTTCTTTTGGAAATCCTAACTATTCTTAGTATGATATTGAGGAATCTCATTGCTATTACTCAAACAAGCATGAAATGTATGCTTGCTTATTCATCCATAAGTCAAATTGGATATGTATTGACTTCCATTATTGAATTTCTTTTACTTGATCGAACAACCCAAAATTTTGTTATTCAACTACATCAAGTAATCTTTCAAATTGGTCAAGACTCTCTAGTTTATGGCCGCTTCTCTATAGTACTAATTGTTGCTTCATTGAATTTGCTTCATTAATAGGCTCACGATTCGACTTTGATCATTATGGACTGGTACCACGATCTAGTCTACTTATATTTACACCTTATTTTGCTTATTTGACCAGACTTAACTAAGAATGCTTTCTTATCACAATAGATACGACTACAAAGAAAATGATTTTTTTTGTACCATCAATACATCTTGCTTGCATGCATAGAGTCTCATTAAAAACAGAAATTTTTATGTCCCAAATTTGAATCGAATCCAATGCGGAGAAGTCATAGGAAGGAATGATAGGATTGGTACCTGTAACATTTTGTAACCCAAAAAAAGGCGTTCCCAAGAAGCGCTACATCCCTTTCAATTAGACTACCATGGTCATTGTAGAGAATCCCTGACCTGTTTTTCACATCGTTATTTCCTCCATTGGTATAAAATTTCTCTTTTCCATTGAGGTCGAACCTAAATTTATGCTCGAGATATAACTGTCTATACTGATAAGGGATGTATGAATTCTCAAGAAGAGAGGAACCATGGTGGTCCCTCCTGAACTGCCTGGATCTTATGAGTGAATAGAAAGTTGGATCTACATTGGATCTCACTTGAACCGCCCCCTCTATCCTTCTGAGTAGAAGTTTGGTTGCAAAACCTGATTCGAACAGAAGAAGTAACCATGCTAATGTGCCTTGGATCATTTACATCTTAGGATCAAGCGCTGAAGAGCACATTAAACTATCCTTGTGGCTAATACATTTAGATGATCGAACGATCTATGCTTTCTAATATTTTTTTAGGAATGATGTTCAAATGAAGATTAACATATTGAACGATTTGGTTATGAGTTTATATTGCCAATATTTATTATTCATAATGAGTGAAATATGTACATTCCGAGCAGATAAAATATTATTATCCTTTTCTAATCATAAGATTGATGTAGACAACCTTCAATTCAAGGTGGGGAAATAGAACACCTTCTCATCTCCCAGCAACCGAAATGCATATCATGCTTGCAGTTCCACTTAAAACTATAAGCTTACTTACGAGTAACAAAAGTACAGGTTTAATTAAAACATAATAATATGTACAACGTAAGAAGTTTGCAAATTTTCAAAACTGTAGTACATGCCACAAAAACACTAGGAGAAATCAACTCGTACGAAACATTCATCAGGCGGCGGACTTGTTGAGCTCAATGACGATCACAGTAATATTATCTTTACTCCCCCTCGCCAAAGCCAACTGAGCCAACCAAGCCGCCGCGTCCGCCGCCGCATTCGATCCGCTCATCCCCTCCGATGACCTCCTCTTCTTGTCCGCATCCAGGCACCTCCGCACCACCTGACACGCATGCTCGTTCGAAACGACATCCCAAATCCCGTCGCTCGCAATCACGAGGAAGTCGCAGCACTCGGTCCTCTCGCTGATCGTCACCTCCGGGTCCGATATCACGTACGGCTTCAGGTAGTGGTCGCCGATCGACCGCGACGTAGCGAGAACTCCGAGGACGCGGCATCCGTTCCAGTTGATCACTCTCCCTCCCGCTGCCTCCACTCTCTCGCGCTCGTCGGGTCGGTCCGGGTTGTGGTCACGTGACAGGGGAATCGCCACGCCGCCTCGGCACAGAACGGCACGTGAGTTTCCAGAATTGGCCACTACAACCTCGTTTTGCCCCACAATCACCACCACTGCACTGGACCCCACCGTGTTCACCCAATTATATTCCATGTCGACGCCATCGACACTGCCGCCGACCTCCTCGTCCATTTTGGTGAAGCACGAGGCCATGACCTTCTCCCAGTCGACCACCCCCTCGCCACCGCGTATCCACGGCTCCACCTCCTGAGCCAGGAGGTGGTGCAGCCGATCGCGGCACGCGTTCGACACTGAAGAGCCGCCGTGGCCGTCGTAGACGGCGAAGAACTGGTAGGAGTCTACCGTCGTCACGACCACGGCGTCATTCATCACTCTCCGCCGTCCTATCAAGGAGATCGAGCCGTGTGAGAGGCAGGATGTCCTCGTCAACTTATCCTCTTTATTCTCCTCCTCTGCGTTTCCGCTTCCTCCAGCAGCGGAAACGAGGATTTCAATGGGGGACTGGGGATTCTCGGAGGACCAGTGGGTGGAGGAGGGATCGTGCTCTTTCGATGACGAAACCGAAGCAAGCTCGTGGGAGCTCCGGTCGGTGATGCTCCTCTGCCTCTTATTCACGTAGCAATTCTCAAATCGAGGATCGACATCCTGCAGATTTAGGCTCTCCATTTGAAGAACTCGAATCGGATTGGCGAATCGAATCGTGCGGACAGAGAGACTACGAAAAAACTGTCATTTAGATTCCACCATTTTGTTGTTATTTCAAAGTTTTCTGAGCTGGCGAGAAAGAACATAGATACCTGGGGAGGACTGAAACATTTATATAAAAGGGGAGAAAGATGAAATCTGGACCGTTGGGAGGGGATGGATGGGGGTTGGTGGACACGTGTGAGGGATGTGTGTGTGAAGGCGGTAGGGTTTGAAGGTTTAAGGAGTGATGAGGATTGAGGATTTTGGGAGTAGGGGGAAGGGGAACCGCGACACGTTGACAGTGCAGTCAAATTCCAAGTGGTTAGGGTTTCGGCGGGACATGGTGACGTGGCCACTTCCAGGATACCCAAAACGTTCGGGTCCCCCATGAGTCAAGAGATGCTGCGTTTAGAATTCTAACCGCGGCGGTCCAAACGGTGCTGTGCCATGCCGCCGCTGCATGCTCCTCTCTCCCCAACTCCAAGTGGTTTGAGTTTCGTTTGTTTGACACGTCGATTCAGTTTAATGGGAATGCTTGGATGGATGCCCTACGTGGTATTTGGAACTGGTTCTTCACTTCGTCAAGCTCGTTTGGAAAATATAGGAGCTAATTTAACAACACGTAACCGTTGAAATATAAGCATTGAGC